GTTGAGGACTGGTTTGAGTATTAAATAAACAATCTTCTATATGACAAATATTTCTCTACACATTTTGTAAACGTCACGTTATCTTAACTTCAACTATCAGGACGTCTCGATGGACAATGTATTAACCAACATTAACGCTGCGCATTACACTAACGCAGATCACTTAAACTGGGTCACATGTGCAGAAACACAAAACGTCGTTAGATTAACGTCCATTAAATTCACCTTTTTATTGGGCTTTGACTGAACACCTCCACGGGCTAACCCACGTGAAACAGGTTATCAGCTAACGCTAGCACTAGCTGTTCAGTCGGAACCAGTGGATATCACTGCAGCTCCAGGACATGTTTAGCCTAGCTTAGCATAAACACCTGCAGCAGAGGGAAACTGTTAGCCTGCCTCCATCCGAACACCTTTCAAAGGTGTAAAAAATATATATATAAAGACACATTAAAGGAACTATTAGGTTTTCTATAGCTACATAGCTAACATTAGCATTAACAGCGGTTTACTCCTTAAATTTTCTGGTTCTTGGCAACAATAAACTTTATATAATTAATATTAATATTGTTTATTTGGTGAAATAAATGGACAACAGTCACACAGCACCTGTTGACTACCTGTCTCCCTCCGACAGACGACAGTGTGACGCAGGTGATGAGGAATAAATCAGGTGACACTTTGTGACAGTGTGAAAACACGTGGAGCTGAATATCTCTTTATTCTTATATGTGCAGCAGAGGAAGTGGAAACAGACTGACAATGACAGGTCTGCACACAGACTGTGAGTCACACACACACACACACACACACACACACACACACACACAGAGACAGGAGTGTGTGTATAGTTTTATTGGTGCGATACAAGGTGATACAAACCAAATATTCACTGTTTACAGAAACATTAGAGGCTACAGTCTGTTCATAAAGCATTTAAATCCATATCAAACAACAACACTCTTCATCATCATCATCATCATCATCATCATCATCATGGTAATTAAGTTGAAACAGCTAAATCAGGAAGTGACATCAGAAACACACGCACGAGCCAAATCACATACAAACACACAGTCTGTACATGTGACTGTATGTTCACACACACACATACACACACGAACACATACACACCAACAGCCGTGTGTAAGAAGCATGACATACAAAAAGCTGTAGAAAAATACTCTTAAAAAACCAAACACACAAAACAGCGACGACGACCTGGAATGTTCTGGATGTCATTGGACTGTAGCATGGACGACACACCGGCAACACGCTGGGCAACCCTGCCGCTGTCAGGCTCTCTGACTCCGCCCCTTTAAGTGAAGGCTGATATTAAAATGTGATTATTTATCCCGTTAAGCTCTCTGTATTTCTAAATGAATTCTGACGCACACAGGCGACAGGAAGCAAAACAAAGATTCAGAAAAACGTCTTTTGTGGCCACAAATTATGAAGTGGCACTAAATTTAACATTATCACTAATTTATTTATTAATTGCTTGTTTTTTTTACTTTTATTGGTTTCTAATAGCTTTAATTTACACACCTTTTTTACTAATCGGTCTTAATTATTTTATTTTCTTAATGGTTTTTAATTCATACGCATCGTTTATGTGTTTGTTTTAATTAGTCTAATGTTTTATCTTCACACTCAGTTATTGGTGCTTTGCTCAGCTGGAATGAAATGTGCTGTAGAAATAAAGTTTTGCTTTCTAATTAATTTAAATCAGCGTGAACTAATAAACTATGTTCACATATTAACGTATTTAAAACAGTTAAGACACAGAGATATTTGGATCTATTTCAGATTTTGTCCTTGAAACAACTTTGTATTGAAATCCCATAAAGGTTTGTTAAATGCTGTTAACAGTTGTTTAATGTCACAGTCTGTCACCATGACGGCAGACTTCAGTAGTTCATGGAGAAACGAACATGAGTGCGAATGCATTATCTTAAAAATACAATTGAATTGAATTTTCTTTAAGTTTGACTAAAAGAAAATGAGAAGAACACTGAGGAAGATAATTTACTTCATTCACATCAAACCAGAGAAACTTTAGCAGTTAGCTGTGGAACTGATTTTTTTAGCTACTTCTCTGGATTAGCTGAGCCTGCTAATTAAGCTAACTGTTAAAACTGCTACACAAGTGGAACAAACTGGTTCATAGACACGTAGCTAAAGTTAATGTAGCTTTCTACTGGCACCTGCGAACATTATTAAAATACACTGATTAATGTCAGTACACTACATTTGTGCTTCATATTCTAGCTTGCGCTAATTTGGCAGTTAATCGTTTGTGTTAGCGAGTCTGCTAGCTAACGTAAGCAATAGCTAGGTAGCTATCTAAACCAGCTTCTTTTAAATCTAAATGAACAGCTAAAGCTAATTTTCTCACTGCTAACATCATGAATCAACACTCATCCATTCTCTGCATTAGCATTATGCTACAGTTAAGCTAACCTCTTTTTAATTTTGATTCATTTTCTTTTTCTGTGCTTTATTTTGACTTTTAAATTTATGATAAATAGTGACAATAATACTTTAACGCACCTTGTTTGTCATTTATAATCAGCAAATGTGTAATTAACCATTTAAGTGAGAGAGGACATTTGAGTTTTAATTAAATCTTTGGTTAGTATTTGTTCTTTGAAACATATCTATGTTATTACAGCTGTTTTACTTTTTGTTCATTATAGTTTTACACATCAGCCTCCATTTCCACAGCAGGAGTTAGAGTGAGCAAATACATTAACATGTCAAGCTGCATTAAAATCTGTTAGAAACCATTTATCAACTGGTTATAAACTGGTTATAAACTGGTTATAGATGTTAATATGGGGTTAAATTTATGATCGAGCTCCTGAAGCCCTGAGAGAAGAGATCTTTTAAATATATTTCAAAATAAGACGTAACAGCACAAGATAAAAGACGTTCTGTGAGAATTAAACTGTAAATCCAAAATGGCCGGCTGCTGAGAAAGAAAAACAGAGTTGCCGTCAAACGTCGCCGGTGTGTGTGGAAGCAAAAAAACCCAAAAACATCTGTCCATCACTCTTTGTTTCACACTCACGCACGTACAGTACGACATTGTACAGGTAACACGTTGTTTTTTTTACTGCTAGGTTTAAGTACAGGCACTATAGAGTGAAGCATTGTGGGATGTTGAGTGCTCAGCTGCTCTGTTTTAGCTAGCAGCTTCTTCAGCGCTGAACGCCTGAACTTTGTGACAAAGTTTTAACGATGATTCAAAGTTTGAACTCTTAGGAGAGAGTTAACGCAACAATAAACTGACTTCCTGTTTATAATTAGATTAATTAAATGAACGGTTTTGTTAAAGTGAAAATGATCAGACAGTTTTTCCTCCGAGTTTCTGCCACTAAACTACAAATAAACAAATAATAACTCCAATTAACGACGTGTTTCTGAGCCACAAACTCGACACTGACGAGGAACAGAAATCACAGAAATAATAACTCGGTGTTTAATAACTGAAGTTAAATCGTATGAATGTGACGTCTACTGGTTAACAACAACAGCTCTACCGGCTAACTAGTTAGCATCTGTAATACGAGTTTATACCACCGCTTAGTTAGCAGTTAGCATCTGAAGGCTATCAGTATAGATATAGGCACAGGTAGAGGAACTGATGGTGTGTGTGACTAACGATGACATATTTCCTCCTGGAATGAAACGGCGTGTGTGTGTGTGTGTGTGTGTGTGTGTGTGTTAGTCGCTCAGGTATGTGTGGATGTAGATCTGTTGTTGGATCCAGGGGGTGAAGTGCGTCACGTTGCTGTAAACTCCAGGTCCGAGAACTTTACTGAAGCACACGCTGCCCCACGACGTCAGGCCGAACAATGTCCAGCGACCGCCGTCCTCCTCACACACCAACGGACCGCCGCTATCGCCCTGAACACACACACGCACACACACACACACGCGCGCACGCACACAGACACGCGCGCACGCACACACACGCGCACACACACACACACACACACACACACACACACACACACCAGTAAGAATCATAATTCAGTTGTACAAGTTTTGCTGCAAAGCTTTTTGTTGTTGTTGTTTTTTGTTAAAAAAAAAAGAACAAAACTCAACAGATTTACTTATAATAAATATTATATTAATATAAATTTGAGGCAGTTTTCCCTGACGGTCTGAAGCTGAATGAACCCGACCAGATGTTGGTGCAGATGTTACCATGCAGGAGTCAACGGTTCCAGCGTCATAACCGGCGCAAAGCATCCTGGGAGTGATGGTCTTCATGTCGAAGTACGACTGACACTGAGACAGAGAGATGATCCGAACCTCCCCCTCCTGCAGCTTGAAGGGCACTGCACACACACACACACACACACACACACACACACACACACACACACTCTGTTACTGTTACAGCTGTTGAGAAGCGATGGTCCTCACAAGTGTAGGAAGACAGACTCACTCCTGTTGCCCATGTGACCCCAGCCTGTGATGTAACAGTAGGAGTCAGGTGACGGCAGCTGGTCGAGCTGCGGCAGACACACGGGCCGGACGAACGCCGTCTCTTCCACCTGTAACAACACGTCTCATCAATACTGTCCGATCACTGCTGATAATCAATACTCAGTATCGGTGCCGTCTGACCTCGGAGTCCAGCTGCACCACGCTGATGTCGTAGTCGACCACCGCCCGGTTGTAGCGCGGGTGTACGATGATGGAGCGCAGCCCGCGGCTCTGGCTGTGAACACCTGGGTGGTCCAGGTTGTTCAGACCCAGCACCACCCTCCACAGCTCGGCGCTCTCTCTCCTGAGCGGGAACATTACACATCAGTCCTTACCGCCCTCAGGCCACGCCCCCTCCCCTCCATCTCCCCCGTCTCACCCCTCAAAGCAGTGTGCGACGGTCAGAGCCCACCGCCGGGCGATCAGGACGCAGCCGCACACGTGTCCGCTCTGCCCGCTCTGCAGCGAGCACTGCCACGGCCACGCCCCCCGCCGGGACACACGCCCTCCCAGAATCCTCTTCTTCCTGTGGGGGTAGACGCCCACCGCCGGGCGGAGACCACACTCTGACAGAGAGAGAGGGGAGGAGTCTCAGTCTGCTGCTATATGTAGATAATCAATCATTCACAGATCAATAACAGACACTGTGTCTCCAGCTGTGTTGACGCTGTGTGTGTGTGTGTTGGTGTGTGTGTGTGTGTGTGTGTGTTGATGTGTGTGTGTGTTGATGTGTGTGTGTGTGTGTGTGTCATTATCATCAGTCATGTATCTATAAATGATTTTAAACATATACTTTTATCCTACAGTTTCTATAGAAACCACAATAATAACATATTTTATAATAATTTTGTGAACATACAACACAAACTTTACTTTAACCTCCTGATTTCCTCCTGATCAATAATAATCAGTACACAAACATTACTGATTGGTTTATAACCCAATATAATGGAGTTGTAATCTGCGTAAATGTTGAGACACTGAGCCTTAAAACCAGCCGTCAGGACTTCTGGAACTTTGTGATGTCACAACAAAGCAGTCACCAAGCCCCGCCCACCTGGACCCACCATCCAAACCTTGCAGGATTTGGTTTCTCTGAGTGTTTTTACCTGAAATCTGATATATTTTTATTGGATCACTCAGAAAACATTCAGCCAATCAGAAGAGAGGCTCAGAGCCTCCTCTCTTCTGATTGGCTCACTGACCTGTTGTTACTAGAGCTCCAGAGAGAAGCCTGAGAGAGGAGATGTAAAACTACACTGAAATGGTTTTTATATCTTCTGATGGATCAACACTTCAAATAAAACACAGAAGAAGAAGAAACATGGAGCTTTAAATTCTGACATGAAGAAGAAAGATTTACCTTCTCTGGTGCACAGCACTGACACTCTGCTCCTGGAATGACACGCATGACTGTAGAGAGAGAGACTGTTTAATACTCATGATCCAGCTAACGTGGCTAACGTGGCTAACGTAGCTAACGTGGCTAACATAGCTAACGTAGCTAACGTAGCCTCCACATGTCTCAGCTGTCGTGTGTATTCATGTGGTTCTAACAGCTTCTGTTACCTTCTCTTCTCCAGTCGGGCCTGTAGAGCAGAACCGTTCCTCAGGTTCCACTCAGGGTGGACGTGTAACCAACGGCGACGGCCTGGGACTCCAGGCTGGTCGGGTACCATGGAAACAGAGGGAACCCTGCAGAGAGACACACACAGTGTATTTAATCTGTCATACTGTTAGAGTGTGTGAGTGTGTGAGTTTGTGTGTGAGTGTGTGTGTGTGTGTGTGAGAGTGTGTGTGTGAGAGTGTGTGTGTGTGAGTGTGTGTGTGAGAGTGTGTGTGTGTGAGTGTGTGTGTGAGAGTGTGTGTGTGTGAGTGTGTGTGTGAGAGTGTGTGTGTGTGAGTGTGTGTGTGAGAGTGTGTGTGTGTGAGTGTGTGTGTGAGAGTGTGTGTGTGTGAGTGTGTGTGTGAGAGTGTGTGTGTGTGAGTGTGTGTGTGAGAGTGTGTGTGTGTGAGTGTGTGTGTGAGAGTGTGTGTGTGTGAGTGTGTGTGTGAGAGTGTGTGTGTGTGAGTGTGTGTGTGAGAGTGTGTGTGTGTGAGTGTGTGTGTGAGAGTGTGTGTGTGTGAGTGTGTGTGTGAGAGTGTGTGTGTGTGAGTGTGTGTGTGAGAGTGTGTGTGTGTGAGTGTGTGTGTGAGAGTGTGTGTGTGTGAGTGTGTGTGTGAGAGTGTGTGTGTGTGAGTGTGTGTGTGAGAGTGTGTGTGTGTGAGTGTGTGTGTGAGAGTGTGTGTGTGTGAGTGTGTGTGTGAGAGTGTGTGTGTGTGAGTGTGTGTGTGAGAGTGTGTGTGTGTGAGTGTGTGTGTGAGAGTGTGTGTGTGTGAGTGTGTGTGTGAGAGTGTGTGTGTGTGAGTGTGTGTGTGAGAGTGTGTGTGTGTGAGTGTGTGTGTGAGAGTGTGTGTGTGTGTGTGTCTGTGTGTGTGTGTTACTAACCTTACCCTAGCCCCAGCTGGTTGCAGGTCAGTTTGCTCAGCTCGTGGTTCCACTCGTCTGCACAGACCTGATACTCTGCTGCCGTCCTGAACACCGTCAATACAGAACCTGATCGATCAGACAGAGACACTGCAGAGACAACAGATCAATACACAACCTGATCAATAACACTGATCAATAACTCTACCAATTAATTTCTGAATGAATTGATTAAATGTTTATATATATATAATATGTAACACACAGTCTGAGGTGATGTATTCACACAGCTTCATCAATACAGCATATAAAATCAATCAATTAATCCACTGATCGTTTATAACTTTATAATGAAATGTTTCCTCAAAGAACAAAATTAAAATGTCTGTGTGTGTGTGTGTGTGTGTTTCTGTGTGTGTGTGTGTTTCTGTGTGTGTGTGTGTGTGTTTCTCAGTGCGTGTGTGTGTGTGTGTGTGTGTGTTTCTCTGTGTGTGTGTGTGTGTGTTTCTCTGTGCGTGTGTGTGTGTGTGTGT